CACGGAAGAGGAGGTACTGGTGACACGGAAGAGAGGAGGTGCTGGTGACACGGAAGGGAGGTACTGGTGACACGGAAGAGGGAGGTACTGGTGACACAGAAGAGGAGTACTGGTGACACGGGAGAGGGGGAGTACTGGTGACACGGAAGAGGAGGTACTGGTGACACGGAAGAGGAGGTACTGGTGACACGGAAGGAGGTACTGGTGACACAGAAGAGAGGGAGAGTCTGGTGACACAGAAGGAGGTACTGGTGACACGGGAGAGGAGTACTGGTGACACGTAGAGGGTACTGGTGACACGGAAGGAGGAGGTACTGGTGACACAGAAGAGGTGCACTGGTGACACGGAAGAGAGGAGGACTGGTGACAGAAGAGGAGGTACTGGTGACACGGGAGAGAGTGCTGGTGACACGGAAGAGGAGGTTACTGGTGACACGGAGAGAGTACTGGTGACACAGAAGAGGAGTACTGGTGACACGGAGGGGAGGTACTGGTGACACGGAAGAGGAGGTACTGGTGACACAGAGAGGAGGTACTGGTGACACGGAAGAGTACTGGTGACACAGAAGGGAGGAGTACTGGTGACACGGAAGAGGAGGTACTGGTGACACGGAAGGAGGTTACTGGTGACACGTGGAGGAGGATACTGGTGACACGGAAGAGTGCTGGTGACACGTAGGGAGGAGTTACTGGTGACACGGAAGAGGAGGTTACTGGTGACACGGAAGAGGAGGTACTGGTGACACGGAAGAGAGAGTGGTACTGGTGACACAGAAGAGGGTTATGGTGACACAGAAGAGATGGTACTGGTGACACAGAAGAGGAGTACTGGTGACACAGAAGAGGAGTACTGGTGACACAGAGAGGAGGTACTGGTGACACGGAAGAGGAGTACTGGTGACACGGAAGAGATGGTACTGGTGACACAGAAGAGGAGGTTACTGGTGACACAGAAAGAGATGGTACTGGTGACACAGAAGAGGAGGTACTGGTGACACGGAAGAGGAGTACTGGTGACACAGAAGAGGAGGTACTGAGTGACACGGAAGAGAATTATAGTGACAGGAAGAGATGGTACTGGTGACACAGAGGGAGGTACTGGTGACACGGAAGAGATGGTACTGGTGACAGGAAGGAGTACTGGTGACACAGAAGAGGAGTACTGTGTGACACGGAAGAGGAGGTACTGGTGACACGGAAGGAGGTACTGGTGACACAGAAGAGGAGGTACTGGTGACACAGAAGAGGTACTGGTGACCAGAGGGTGCTGGTGACACAGAGAGGAGTCTGGTGACACGGAAGAGGAGGTACTGGTGACAGGAAGGAGGTACTGGTGACACGGAAGAGGAGGTACTGGTGACACGGAAGAGGGGGTAACAAGACACGGAAGAGGAGGTACTGGTGACACGTAAGAGGTGGTACTCAAGACAAGGAGAGGTACTGGGACACGGAAGAGGAAGATATGTAAGAGGGGAGGTACTGTGACAGAAGAGGAGGTACTGGTGACACGTAAAGAGGTGTTACTGGACACGAAGAGGGAGGTACTGGTGACACGTAAGAGGGAGGTACTGGGACACGTAAGAGGAGGCACTGGTGAAACAGGAGGTACTGAGACACAAGAGGGAGGTACTGGACACGGAAGAGGAGGAGTGACACGTAAGAGAGGTACTGGTGACACGGAAGAGGTGGTACTGGTGACACGAAGAGGAGTACTGGACACGGAAGAGGAGGTACTGGTGACACAGAAGAGGAGGTAACAGACAAGAGGTGGTACTGGTGACACGTAAGAGGAGGTACTGGTGACACAGAAGAGGGGAACTGGTGACACGGAAGAGGAGGTACTGGTGACAATGGGAAGAGGAGGTACTGGAGACACGGAAGAGGAGGTACTGGAGACACGGAAGAGGAGGTACTGGTGACACGTAAGAGGAGGTACTGGTGACACAGAAGGAGGAGGTACTGGTGACACGTAAGAGGAACAGACACGGAAGAGGAGGTACTGGTGACACGGAGGAGGTACAGACACGGAAGAGGAGGTACTGGTGACACGTGAAGAGGTACTGGTGACACGGGAAGAGGAGGTACTGGTGACACGGAAGAGAGGTACTGGTGGACACGTAAGAGGAGGTACTGGTGACACAGAAGAGAGGTACTGGTGACACGGAAGAGGGGGTACTGACACGGAAGAGGAGGTACTGGTGACACGGAAGAGGGGGTACGAGACACAGAAGAGAGGTACTAGACACGGAAGAGGAGGTACTGGTGACATGGAAGAGGAGGAAACTGGTGACACGGAAGAGGGGGTACTGGTGACACGGGAAGAGGAGGGACTGGTGACACGGAAGAGGGGGACTGGTGACAGGAAGAGAGAACAGTGGAAGAGGAGGAAGCAGACACAGGAGGGAGGTACTGGTGACACGGAAGAGGATATACAGACACGGAAGAGAGGTACTGGTATGGGAAGAGGAGGGACTGGTGACACGGAAGAGGAGGTACTGGTGACACGGAAGAGAGAGGACTGGTGACACGGAAGAGGGACTGGGGACACGGAAGAGGAGGTACTGACACGGAAGAGGAGGCTGGTGACACGGAAGAGGAGGTACAGACACGGAAGAGGAGGGATCTGGACACGGAAGAGGGGGTACTGGTGACACGGAAGAGGAGGTACTGGTGACACGGAAGAGAGGGACTGGTGACACGGAAGAGAGGTACTGGGGACACGGAAGAGATGGTACTGGTGACACAGAAGAGGAGTGTACTGGTGACACGAAGAGGAGGTACTGGTACACGGGAAGAGGAGGTACTGGTGACACGGAAGAGAGGAACTGCTGGCACGGAAGAGGGGGTATTGGTGACGAAGAGAGGACTGGTGACACGGAAGAGGAGGGACTGTGACACGTGGAAGAGGGGTACTTGGTGACACGGAAGAGGGGTACTGGTGACACGGAAGAGGAGGTACTGGACACGGGAAGAGGAGGGACTGGTGACACGAAGAGGGGGGTACAGACACGGAAGAGGGGTTACTGGTGACACGAAGAGGAGGTACTGGTGACACGGAAGAGGAGGAACTGGTGAAATGGAAGAGGAGGGGTACTGGTGACATGGGAAGAGGAGGGACTGGTGACACGAAGAGAGGGACTGGTGACACGGAAGAGGGGTACTGGTGACACGAAGAGGGGGGGGACAGACACGGAAGGGAGGTACTGGTGACATGGAAGAGGTGGATGACATGGAAGAGGGGTACTGGTGATGAGGAAGAGGGGGCCTAGTACACGGAAGAGGAGGTACAGGACACGGAAGAGGGGATTGTGACACGGAAGAGAATGCGGACACGGGAAGAGGGGGGGACTGGACACAGAAGAGGAGGTACTGGGGACACGGAAGAGGGGAGGACTGGTGACACGGAAGAGGAGGTACTGGTGACACGGAAGAGGAGGTACCTGGTGACACAGGAGGAGTGCTGGTGACACGGAAGAGGAGGTACTGGTGACACAGAGAAGAGGAGGTTACTGGTGACACGGAAGGAGGAGTACTGGTGACACAGAGGAGGTGCTAGTGACACAGAGGAGGTTACTGGTGACACGAAAGAGGGTACTGGTGACACGGAAGAGGAGGTACTGGTGACACGGAAGAGAGAACTAGTGACACAGGAAGAGAGTACTGGTGACACGGAAGAGGAGGTACTGAGTGACACGGAAGAGGAGTACTAGTGACACGGAAGAGGAGTGCTGGTGACACGGAAGAGGAGGTGCTGGTGACACGGAAGAGGAGGTTACTGGTGACACGGAGAGGAGGTACTGGTGACACGGAAGAGATGGTACTGGTGACACGGAAGAGGAGGTACTGGTGACACGGAAGAGGGGGTACTGGTGACACGGAAGGAGGAGGTACTGGTGACACGGAAGAGGGAACTGGTGACACGGAAGAGAGGGAGTGCCTGGTGACACGGAAGAGGAGGTACTGGTGACACGGAAGAGGAGTACTGAGTGACACGGAAGGAGGTACTGGTGATACGGAAGAGGAGGTTACTGGTGACACGGAAGGAGGTACTGGTGACACGAAGAGGAGGTGTGGTGACACGGAAGAGGAGGTACTGGTGACACGTAAGGAGGAGGATACTGGTGACACGGAAGAGATGGTACTGGTGACACAGAAGAGGAGTACTGGTGACACAGGAAGAGGTGGTTCTGGTGACACGGAAGAGGAGATGCTAATTGACACGGAAGAGGGAGGGGTACTGGTGACACGGAAGAGGAGGTTACTGGTGACACGTAAGAGGGGGCACTGGTGACACGGAAGAGATAGTGCCTGGTGACACGGAAAGGGAGGTGGTTACTGGTGACATGGAAGAGGTACTAGTGACACGGAAGAGGAGGTTACTGGTGACAGGAAGAGGGAACTGGTGACACGGAAGAGGAGGTACTGGTGACACTGAAGAGGAGGTACTGGTGACACGGAAGAGGTGGTTACTGGTGACACGGAAGAGGTGGTTGGTGACACGGAAGAGATAGTACTGGTGACACGTAAGAGGAGGTACTGGTGACACGTGGAGGAAGATTACTGGTAACACGTGGAGGAGTGGCATTGACACGTAAGAGGAGGTACTGGTGACACATGGAGAGGAGTGCTGGTAACACGTAGAGGAGGTACTGTAGACACGTAAGAGGAGGTTACTGGTGACACGTAGAGGAGGTACTGGTGACACATGGAGGGGTACTGGTGACACATGGAGGAGTGCTGGTGACGGAAGAGGAGGTTACTGGTGACACGTAAGAGGAGGTACTGGTGACACGTAAGAGGTACTGGTGACACGTAAGAGGTACTGGTGACACGGAAAGGAGGTACTGGTGACACGGAAGAGGAGGTACTGGTAACACGAACCGGTACGAATAACGATTGAGTACAGAATGAACAGGAATGGTACCCTGTATCACTGGTCACAACACAACTACCTACAGACACGGTTGAAACTCTGAATTATTTTACTCTACTTTAACAAGACTTAGTTTATCTTATCCTACAGTAATTATACTTACATACATATCATAATCTCTCTCTCTATATAGTAAAAACTGTATAAGAATTTAATTGTTATAATCTTTACCACAGAGCAAAAGCAATGTATCGAACTATATACATGGCTTAATATAGAGTCTCCTGACGTTCTTGGTGTGTGTGTTAGGTTAGATGGATTAGATTAGGTTGGTTAGGATAGAGTTAGGATAGGTTAGATTAGGTTAGGTTAGGTTGGGTTAGGATAGGTTAGGTTGGATGGGTTGGGTTAGGTTGGGTTGGGATGGGTTAGATTAGGTTAGGTATCAAGCAACCAATACACTAGTTTATATTAGTTAGCGAGGGTAGTGGGGATTGAGGTTAGGGAGAAGGAAGTTATTTTGAGGAAGGAAAATAAGGGGAAGGAGGAGGAGGAGGAAGAGGGGGGGGAGGGAGGAAGAGGGGGAGGAGGAAGAGGGAACCAATAATAATGATGAAACAGGAAAGAAATCGTTGTTCAAGGAGGAAAACGAGAAAAGAGTGAAAAATAGAGAAAAAAAGTTGAGGAGATAATCAAGGAATGATGGTGGAGGAGGAGGAAGGGTGGGGAGGAGAGGGGAAGCGGATGTGGTTAGGTTAAGTCTACACCACACTGTGAGATTAGAAGGTCAGGGAAAATACTTGTGTGGTGATAATAATAATATAATAATAATAATAATTACAATCGATTATTATTATTATTATTAATATTATTATTACAATATTGTTATTATTATTATTATTTGTGTGTGTGTGTGTGTGTGTGTGTGTGTGTGTGTGTGTGTGTGTGTACTCGATATCTGTCCAATCCCATTTTATTTGTTGATGACCTTTGTATGTTTACGAGTGTGTGTGTGTGTGTGTGTGTGTGTGTGTGTGTGTGCTGAAACATGTAATTGTAAGTAATTATAATTATAATTATAATGTAATTATAAGTGACAAGACAATAAGAACCAACTTATATGTATGTGTATAATGGTGGCTCCCTCCGACCCCCTACCCCACCTCTCTAAACACACACACACACACACACACACACAGTACTTCCCTCAAGGTAGTCAAAACCTGCAGAATATGGTATACTTGTGGTGACAGGAGACAGAGAAATTATCTCATACCACACCACACACACACACACACACACACACACACACACACACACCCACACAAACTAGTCCTCCTCCAGTACATATAATACCTCTTAGATATAAACAACACGTTCAAATTCATGCAGGCAGGTCATTAACCAGCATCAAGGATCTGGGGCCAAGCAACAACAACAACAACAACAGCAACAGCAACAACAACAGCAACAACGACAAGCGACAGCAACACATAAACAACAACAACAACGCCAACAACAACAACAACAACAACAGCAATGACAACAGGCAAGCAGCAAGCAACAGCAACCAACAACAGCAAAGCAACAGCAAGCAACCAACAACAACAACTAGCAACAACAACAACAACCAACAACAACAACAACCAACAACAACAGCACCAAAACAACAAACAACAACAACAACGACGACGACGACGACGAGCGACGACGACGACGACGACGACGACGACGACGACAAAAACAACAACAACAACAACGACGACGACGGACGACGACGACGACGACAACGACAAAACAACAAACAACAACAACAACAACAACCAACAGCAAACAGCTGCAACAACAACAACAAACCAACAACCAACCAACAGCAATGACAGCGGCAACAGCAACAACAACCAAGCAAACCAATCAGGCAACAATGACAACAACAGCAAACAAACAACCAACCAACAACCAACAACAACAACAAACAACAAGCAACAACAACAGCAGCAGCAACAACGACCAACAACAACAACAACAACAACAGCAACCAACAACAGCAGCAAAAACAACAACCAACAACAACAACAACAACAAACAGCAGCAAAGCAACCAGCAGCAACAACAGCCAACATCAACAACAACAACAACAACAACAAGCAACAGCAGCAGCAGCAACAACAACAGCAGCAGCAACAGCAGCAACAACAACAACAACAACAACAACAGCAGCAGCAACAGCAACCAAAGCAACAACGACAACAACAACAACAACAACAGCAACAACCAACAGCAGCAACAACAGCAACAACAACGACAACAACAACAACAACAACAACAACAACAACAACGACGAACGAAACGACGACGACGACGACTTGACGACGACGACGACGACGACGGCGACGACAACAACAACATCAACAACAACGACGACGACGACGACGACGACGACGACGAGCGACGACGACGACGACGACGACAACAACAACAACAACAACAACGACGACGACGACTGACGACGACGACGACGACGACGACAAACAACAAACTGACGACGACGACGACGACGACGACAAACGAGCAACGAGCAACAACAGCACAACAACAACAACCACCAACAGCAACAGCAGCAAACAGCAACAACCATTGACAGCATACAACAATGAGCAGGCAAGCAGAACGACAGAAACAACAGACAGCAATAACAACAACAATAACGACAAAGAATAGATGGACAGAGAACTGACAACAACACCAAGCAACAACAACAGCAGCAACAACAACTGACAACGGCGACCAACAGAACGACAACAGCAAACAACTTCAGCAACAACAACCAAGCAAGCAGCCAGCCGACAACCAGCAACAAAGCAAGCAAGCAACCCGGCCAACGCCAGCAACGGCGAAATGACCCACAGCAACGAGCAGCAACAGCAACAACAACGAAAGGCAATGACAGCAGCAACAACGACAACAGCAACAACCAGCGCAACAGCAACAGCAAGCAACCAAGCAGCAAAGCAGCAACGGCAATACAACCAACCAACCAGCAATGACAGCAAAACACAGCCAGCAACAAACCAAAACAACCAGCAAGCAACCAACCAAACAACAACAGCAACAAGCAAACTAGCAAAGCAACAGCAACCAACAACAACAACAACCAGCAACAGCAAGCAACAACAACCAACGACAAAAGCAACCAGCAACAGCAACAACAAACAACAACAACAGCAACAACAACAACAACAACAACAGCAACGACAACGACAACACGACAACGACAACGACGACGACGACGACGACGACGACGACGGCGACGACGACGACAACAACAACGACAACGACGGCGAGCGACGACGACGACGACGACGACGACGAGCAGAGCGACGACGCAACAACCAACCAGCACTGACGAGCGACGACGCGACGACTGACGACGACAACGACAACAACAACAACAACAAGCAAACGCGAACGACGACGACGACGACGACGACGACGACGACGACGACGACGACGACGACAACGGCAACAAACAGCGACGACGGCAACCAACCAACGGCAACAACAACGACAACGACGACGACGACGACGACGACGACGACGACGAGCGACCAACAAACGACGAACGACGACGACGACGACGACTGACGACGACGACGACGACGACGACTGACGGGGCGACGACGACGACGACGACGACGACGACGACGACAACGACAACGACGACAACCAACAACAGCCACCAGCAGCACAGCAACCAACGGCAAACAGCAGCAACGACAACAACAACAACGAAAATGACAGCAGCAACCAACGACAGCAACAACAACAGCAGCAACAACAACAACAACAACAACAACGACAACGACGACGAAGCGACGACGACGACGACGAGCGAACGACAACAACAACAACAACCAACAACGACGACGACGACGACGACGACGACGACGACGACGACGACGACGACAACAACAAACAACGACGACTGACGACGACGGCGACGACAACGACAACGACAACAGACAACAACAACAACAACAACAACCAACGACGACGACGACGACGACGACGACGACGACGACGACGAAGCGACAACCAACAACAACAAACAACAGCAACCGACAACAACAACCAACAAGCAACAGCAACCAGCACCAGCAACAGCAAACAACCAGCCAGCAGCAACAACCAACGACAACAGAAGCAACCAGCAAGCTGACAAGCAACAACCAACAAGCAACGACAGCACCAACAACAACAACCAAACCAACAACGACAAACAACGACGACGACGAGCATGACGACGACGACGACGACGACGACAAACCAACAACGACGACGACGACGACGACGACGACGACGACGACGACGACGACGACGACGTGCCAACGACAACAACAACGACGACGACGACGACGACAACGACAACGACAGCAACAACGACGACAACAACAGCGACGACGACGACGACGACGACGACGACGACGACGACGACAAAACGACAGCAACAACAGCAACAGCGACGACGACGACGACGACGACGAGCGACGACGACGACGACGACGACGACGACGACGACGACGACGACGACGACAACAACAACGACGACGACGACGACGACGACGGTGACGACGACGACGACGACAACGACAACGACAACAGCAACAACAACGAAAGCAACAGCAGCAACCCAGCAGCAACAACAGCAACAACAACAACACCAGCAACAACAGCAGCAACAGCAGCAACAACAACAACAACAACCCAACAGCAAGCACAACAACAACACTAACAACAACAACGACGACGACGACGACGACGACGACGACGACGGCGACAACCAACAACAACAACAACAACGACACGACGACTGACGACGACGACGACGACGAGCGACGACGACGACGACGACAACAACAACAACAACGACGACGAGCGACGACGACGACGACGACGACAACGACAACGACAACGACAACAACAACAACAAACAACAACAACAACAGCGACGACGACGACGACGACGACGACGACGACGACGACGACAACGACAACAACAACGACAACAACAACAGCAACAACAACAACAACAACAACAACAACAACACCAGCAAACAACAACAACAGCAACAGCAAGCAACAACAACAACAGCAACAGCAACAGCAACAACAACAGCAACAACAACAACAACGCAACAGCAACAACAACAACAAGCAACAACAACGACGACGACGGCGACGACGACGACGACGACGACGACAACAACAACAACGACGACGAGCGACGACGACGGCGACGACGACGACGACGAGCGACGACGACGACAACAACAACAACAACAACGACGACGACGACGACGGCGACGACAACGACTAACAACAACAACAAACAACAACAACGTGACGACGACGACGACGACGACGACGACGACGACGACGACAACAACAGCAACAACAACAACAACGACGACGACGACGACGACGACGACGACGACGACGACGACGACGACGACAACGACAACAACAGCAACGACAACGACTGACGACGGCGACGACGACGACGACGACGACGACAAACGACAACAACAACAACAACAACAACAACAACGACGACGACGACGACGACGACGACAACGACAACGACAACAACAACAACAACAACAAATAAATACGAAAATGAAAAAATATCAAGAGTGAGAAACAATATATGTATATGTATGTTGTGTTGTCAGAAGTAGAAAAACAATTGAGACCCTGCAATTGTGTGTGTAAATGAGCAGAAAGTCAGATGACCACCTGGGACTTGGTCACAATTTTCATGATGCCATATGGCAGCAGGGTCTACCGATTAACAATACATTATGCTTCAATATCTTCCCAGGCGGTAGTACCTCCCTGTTTGGTAGCTACCTACTACCTATATATGAAGTCTTTTTAAGGAAAAAGAATTAGATAGATAATCATAAATACATACATAAATACATACATACATACATACATACATACATACATACATACATACATACATACATACATACATACATACATGCATACATACATACATACATACTGTACATACATACATACATACATACAAATAAAGATATATAGCTAGAGACAAAAAATAAATAAGATAAACAGTTAGATAAATAAACAGGTAAATTACGATCTTATTGTTGTAGTTTGTTAATTGCTGTGTGTCGTGTTTATCCTGGAGTTGACTGACATGTGGTATTTCCCGTACAGATGTCTTGGCCAGGGGTGTTTGTTTGTCTTGTGTTGGCCAGGAGTGTTTGTTTGTCTTGTGTTGGCCAGGAGTGTTTGTTTGTCTTGTGTTGGCCAGGAGTGTTTGTTTGTCTTGTGTTGGTGTTTGTTTGTCTTGTGTTGGCCAGGAGTGTTTGTCATGTGTTGGCCAGGGTGTTTGTTTGTCTTGTGTTGACCAGAGATGTTGTTTGCATGTGTTGGCCAGGGTGTTTGTTTATCATGTGTTGGCCAGGGTGTTTGTTTGTCTTGTGTTAGCCAGGAGTGTTTGTTTGTCTTGTGTTAGCCAGGAGTGTTTGTTTGTCTTGTGTTGGCCAGAGTGTTGTTGTCTTGTGTTGGCCAGAGTGTTGTTTTTTGTGTTGCCAAGTGTTGTTTGTCTTGTGTTGGGGAGTGTTGTTTGTCTTGTGTTGGCCAGAGTGTTTGTTTGTCTTGTGTTAGCCAGGAGTGTTGTTTGTCTTGTGTTGGCCAGGAGTGTTTGTTTATCATGTGGCCAGGAGTGTTTGTTTGTCTTGTGTTGGCCAGGAGTGTTGTTTGTCTTGTGTTGGCCAGGAGTTTGTTTGTCTTGTGTTGGCCAGGGTGTTTGTTTGTCTTGTGTTGGCCAGGAGTGTTTGTTTGTCTTGTGTTGGCCAGAGTGTTTGTTTGTCTTGTGTTGGCCAGGAGTGTTGTTTGTCTTGTGTTGGCCAGGAGTGTTTGTTTGTCTTGTGTTTGGAGTGTTTGTTTGTCTTGTGTTGGCCAGGAGTGTTTGTTTGTCTTGTGTTGGCCAGGGTGTTTGTTTGTCGTGTGTTGGCCAAGTCATTTTTTGTTGTTGGCCAAGTGTTTGTTTGTCTTGTGTTGGCCAGTGTTGTTTGTCTTGTGTTGGCCAAGTGTTTGTTTGTCTTGTGTTGGCCAGGAGTGTTTGTTTGTCTTGTGTTGGCCAGTGTTTGTTTGTCTTGTGTGTAGAGTGTTGTTTGTCTTGTGTTGGCCAGTGTTGTTTTGTCTTGTGTTGGCCAAGTGTTTGTTTGTCTTGGTGGACAGGGTGTTGTTTGTCTTGTGTTGGCCAGGAGTGTTGTTTGTCTTGTGTTGGCCAGGAGTGTTTGTTTGTCTTGTGTTGGCCAAGTGTTTGTTTGTCTTGTGTTGGCGGGTGTTTGTTTGTCTTTGTTGGCCAGATTTTGTTTGTCTTGTGTTTAGGGTGTTGTTGGCGGAGTGTTGTTTGTCTTGTGTTGGCCAGGGGTGTTTGTTTGTGTGTTGGCCAGGAGTGTTTGTTTGTCTTGTGTTGGCCAGGAGTGTTTGTTTATCTTGTGTTGGCCAGAGTGTTTGTTTGTCTTGTGTTGCCAGGAGTGTTTGTTTGTCTTGTGTTGGCCAGGAGTGTTTGTTTGTCTTGTGTTAGCCAGGAGTGTTTGTTTGTCTTTGTTGGCGTGTTGTTTGTTGTTGCAGGGTGTTTGTTTGTCTTGTGTTGAATGTTTGTCTTGTGTTGGAGGAGTGTTTGTTTGTCTTATGTTGGCCAAGTGTTTGTTTGTCTTGTGTTGGCCAGGAGTGTTTGTTTGTCTTGTGTTGGCCAGAGTGTTTGTTTGTCTTGTGTTGGCCAGATGTTTGTTTGTCTTGTGTTGGCCAAGTGTTGTTTGTCTTGTGTTGTAGGAGTGTTTGTTTTGTTGTGTTTTGTGTTGGCCAGGTGTTTTGTTTGTCTTGTGTTGGCAGGTGTTGTTTGTCTTGTGTTGGCCAGGAGTGTTTGTTTGTCTTGTGTTGGCCAGGAGGTGTTTGTTTATCATGTGTTGGCCAGGAGTGTTTGTTTGTCTTGTGTTGGCCAGGAGTGTTTGTTTGTCTTGTGTTGGCCAGAGTGTTTGTTTGTCTTGTGTTGGCCAGGGGTGTTGTTTATCATGTGTTGGCCAGGGTGTTTGTTGTCTTGTGTTGGCAGGTGTTTGTTTGTCTTGTGTGGGGTGTTGTTTATCGTGTTGAGTGTTTGTTTGTCTTGTGT